TATCTACAGAGTTTTAACTGTACTTTTAGGTTGGTTTGATCCATATTTGAAAGGATTTATAGGACGTCTGCAGTTGCAGGTTAAATAACTTAGCAAGTGCCAAGGTCCTTTCAGGTATGCCCTCTTGCCCCTTCCCCTCCCCCCTTCCCCCAATGCTTCTGCACAGTGGGTAGTGCAGTCTGAACATCACTTTATATGGGGTAGAGAATTTGTACTTTCATACCTACTGTTTTCAGGCTGGTAGATACCAGAGTTGACAAGGATTTTTTGTTTGGGGTTTTTTTTCCCCCACCCTCTTTAAAACTTCTAACTTTATCTCCCCTATACCCCTTACCTGCATATCTGTTATGAGATGACCAAAGCTCTTTCCTTCCAAAAGATCAAGTGAGGAAAAAAAAGTCTTGACATACTGCTTTCTACCTGGAAATAGTGAGAATGCAGGAAAGAAAGAGTCTTAATGCTCTTGAGCATTCGGTTGAGCCAGTATGCTATGAAAGAGTTAAATCACTCGTTTTCTTAACTTGTAAATACAAGAATTTGGCCTCAGGCAATTAGTTGCTCTTTGAGAATGGTTTTGTTGATATGCTGCCATCCTCTCTAGTATTTAAAAAGATGTTTACATTAATATTATATCTGCCCTACAGGTTATTCTGAGGAAAGGAAATTTACAGTCAGACAAAAATCTTTCAGTGGCTTTTTTTTTTTTTTTTTTTTTTTTTTTAATCCTTCCTCTTCTGTAGGGAGAGGCTTAATCAAGTTATACCTAGCCTATATCTCTCTAACAAGTGTGTTAAATATGTATCTTCAAAGGCAATCTTGAATAACATGCAGCTAGCTAATAAAAGCAAAAAATGTTCTTTCTTTAATGGGGGAGTTCAGAGAGCTAATTTGTATCTGAATGCCCTGCAGATAATCTTTTCCCTGAGCTTCAGGAAAGCCTCTTCTCTTCTGGCTAAAGACCTGACTGAATTCCTCTTGGACTCTTCATCTCTCTCATCTGCAGAGTCTGACAGGTGCAACTGCCTCCATCTGAATGAATTTCAGTTGCAGCTTGTCTCCACTGTTCTAAGCAGCGATGAGAAATTTGATCCTAAATTTGTGGTGTCATTTTGCACTGATCTTGTGGAACCAGAAGTGCCAAGCTCAGCGTTAAATCAAGAATCTGACTTGCACAAATGAATGCTTTTTTCTAAATACCCTCAGGCTACGTTGTGCTTTAATTTATAAGAGTGTGAGCACCAGATTTTAATAGAAAGGTCCTTATTAATATGTTACTCTTGGTTTTGGCCAGTGTTATTTTATCTCTGTAAAATACATACTATAAAAAAAATATTTTGGTGGGAAAATGAGACATGTTACTAGTTCAGAGTAATTATCGAAACATTTGTGTCAAGCTAGTGACAACACTGATCTTTAGCTTTTCTCAGCAATGCAATTAAGCAATGCGCATTTGGCAAAATAACTGTTTTTAATTTAGCTACTGGGAAGTGATTTTCTTTTTCTTTGGTATTCGATCTGAGGCAAGTTTTCTACTGTCAGTGGATGGACTTGCAGGGTTCTCATTCAAAGGAGCTGTATTTGTTCTTACAAAGAAGTGGGACAACTTTTTTTCATCTTGGTATTTGTTCCTTGATACTGGACTTAAATGGCTCAACTTTAATTGTACTAATATTCTAAATAAGGAAAAACCTTTATGCATGTGTTAGTTTTACATTGCTCAATTATTACGATTTCTGATCAGGAATTATTTTTTGAGCCTGTGGTTTTTTTGCACTAGCTTTCAGTTGTATTTCAACTGTCGTAGGAAGATTCCTTTACTTCCACTGGAGAGTAAACCTACTATCAGGGTCAAAAGCAACACAAAATTCAAGTAAAATGAATTCTTGGTCTCAGAAGGTTGGGTTGAGCACACTAAAAGAGGAAAAGGAGTCACACTAATCGTATCTTTTAAGTCTGGGAACTTGGTAAATTTGATAAACTGTGATCCTTTTCATCAAACAATTAAAAAAAAAATTCTTAAAACTGTTAAGCACCAAGAAATCAAACTACAGTGTGTTAAGAGGAAAACCAAAAGTTTTGACAAATTAAGCCATATGTGTTGTGAAATCTTCAAAGTGAGTATCATGCATGTAGTAGAATAGTTTTAACTAGCTTATGTTCAGATACATGGACTCCTTGACCTAGTTAAGTTTAAGCAATGCTGTGACAAGTGGTGTTAAAACCACGCAAGCTCGTGGGTAGTTCTTTCCCTGGCTAGGAGTTACTGAATATATTGTATGATTTGGTCACCATAGATTTTTCCTATATGTGTCAATGCTGTCCAAGTCATTGGTGTGTGCTAGGATCATCACTGCTGTATTCAAAGCTAGTGCTTTCCAGTGTTTTCAGAGCTGTGGTATTCCACGGAATTTCACACAACTCTGATAAAATCCTCTATGATCAGAAATACTTCTTTTAAATAACCTAGAATATTCACTACATTTTTTCATTAGATGGATGATTGTCAGTCTTCTATCTTGTCTAGCTGTAGAAGAAAGACCTTGAGTGTCAAGAATTCATTTCCAAACTTTGTGCAAGACTGCTTTATATCTTTGGTGGATGAAAATAGTTACCTTTTTTCCCCTCTCATTCGCTTCTGACTTCAGTAAGGCAGAATATGTTTCTGCAGTCTGTATAGTAAGGGTATTTCAAATTCAGAGAAGGGTAGAAACCCTGACTTTAGGTTGGTCTTGCTCAAAACTTTGATTATTTCTCCATCTTTGCATCTCCTAAAATGTTTCTGTAAACAAGAGACTATTTTGGAGTCTACATTGTTTCTGCTGTCACTGAAATTATCTGCTTTCTCTTGCCTTTTTAGATCTCCAAGTTTGACTTGAGCTGTTAAACTATGATTGTGTGGGAATAAGTCTGAATTCCTCATAGTTTCAATTTTAGATGTTTTAGGGAATGCAAAACATAGATTGCACATTCATGCAGTCCGAGTAAGTAATAATCTTACGCTTAATTGGGGCAATATTTACAAGCGTTCCCTGGGGATTTACAGGAAGTCTGTCTCATGTTTGTCTTTTGAAAGAAATACGAAAAATAATTGTTTAAAGATCTGAATTTTAGAGCTCAATATTCATTGCATCAAATGTGATTAGAGATTTCTTAATACTGTATTGCTAATTCACAGCTATTCTTCTACTCCAGTCCTACTCAACTACTTACGTTTTGGTTTGAAACGCTGAGTTCCCTCTGTCTGCTGTGATTTTCAAATACCTACTCATAAAAAATATTTGAGTTCCAGATTCACAGCAGAATATTATGTTACTTTGGGTTTGTGATATTAGTTACATTAACAATGGATATTAATTACTACAGAAGTTGGAGTGAAAAGTTACCACTTCATTGGTGCAAAATTAGTGAAATACTTGGGTCTTTGTCATCAGTGCTTTTCGAAATGAAAGTCCTGTCAGCAGCCTTGGAGGATGGCATTAATTCTTGTGGATTTGAGGCCTGATTTAACCACAGTTAAACAGCCCTACAGTGCTGGTTTTGCGGTGTGGGTAGAGCGTAAAGGCTTTTAAAAGTCTCCAAGGGCTTTTCTGGTCTTCTGAAGTTAGAAAATTATTATTGTCGTAGTGTGGAGGGAAGACTCCTGTAAGGCACCTAATACACTAGTTGCAATCATGTATTCCTTAAATCCAGATGATTTACCTTCCAATGACTAGCTAATGTGTTTGACCAAGCCACACTTAGCTACTCTGTGATTAGTTTTCTCTGGGGGGAAAATAACCTCATGTTCCTTAAAAAGGAACTCCTAAAGGCTTGTGAAGTGCTCAGGTGCCCCAATATGCGTGTATTTTGTCACAGCTGTAGACAGTGTTACAGCTGAAGTCATTAGGAGTTATTGCTTCTTTCCATTCTTCAGGATATGATACAATGTGCAATTGGAATGATTTCAATAAATTAATAGTTCAGGTTAGAGTATGAGTTTGTGATGATACGTAATTTCAGATGATACTCCTCAGCAAAACTTTTAACACTTTTTCCTGCAGTATCCTTGTGTCTTAGCTTGGCTGTTATGGTTTGGATAGGCGGGCAGCTAGGTGGGTAAAAGAACCAGTTGGATGGTTGGCCTCAGAGGATTGTGGCTAACGGGTCACACTCTACCTGGTGGCCAGTAGGTAACAAGTGGAATCTGCAAGGGTCTGTCCTGGACCAGCCCTATTTAATATCTTTAGCAATGACCTGGCAACACAGTACGCTCTCAAGTTTGCAGATGACAGCAGACCAGGGGGCCCAGTTGATATGCTGGAGGGTAGAGCTGCCAACCAGGGGTACCTGGACAGGCTGGAGGGATGGGCCTGCAGGAACCTTACAAAATTAAGCAAGGACAAATGCCAGGTCCTGCACCTGGGGGAAAGAAGAGCCCCTGGCAGGGATACAGGCTGGGGACAGAGGGGCTGCAGGGAGCAGCTCTGCGGGAAAGGCCCTAGGGATGCTGGCAGACAGCCGAGTGGCAAGAGAGGTTGTGCCATCTCCATCCTTGGCAGTTTTCAAGACTGGACTAGGCAAAACCCTGAGCAACCTAGCCTGACCTCATGGCTCAGCCTGCTTTGAGCCAGAGGTTGGACTTAAAAGACTTCCTGAGGTCCCCTTCAACCTGAAATACCTTATCCTGTGATTCTAGGACTACTTATTTATTCCATTTCAGATTTCAACTTGAATTTGAAATTTGCCTTTGTAGTTTAATTTGTGTGTCTAAAATGATACAGGCTAAGTCTGTTCTATCACAAATTCAACTAATGCTTACTCTGTGTATGCGCGCGCATGTGTGTGTGTGTTCCATTTAAAAAAAAAAAAAAACAAACCTGGGCCTTTACCAAGCTCGCATTTCAAAAATAATTGTTATATCCCAAGTGTTATTTGCATCTCTGTGCTTATTACTGGTTTCTTTTGTGCTTATTTCTTGTGCAAACTTGCCACATGATTAATACACTTTTTTGTTTCAACAGAGGGAGAATATATCAAGATGTTCATGCGAGGTCGACCAATCACAATGTTCATTCCTTCTGATGTAGAAAACTATGATGATATTAGGACAGAGCTGCCTCCTGAAAAGTTAAAACTGGAGTGGGTGTATCCTTGATATCACTAACTACTTGCTGTTCTCTTTTTGTCTTGTCTTGCTTTTTTTTTTCCTTTAGAATCTGGTCTTGTCTCTTCTCTGTTCAAAGATAAAAAAGGGGGAAAAAAGTTCACTTTGGTATAACAATTGAAATGGTTTCTAGCTACCGTATAGTATGACTTAAAGCTGCAAAATATGTAGGCACAGAAAAGCCATACTTTTTCTTTGTTTGTTTTGGTGTTTGAAACTAATTGCAATTGATTTTTAGTGTGAAAGAAAGTGTCTTTGGAGAGTTACAGAGTTTCAAAAATGTCCTCGTCTGCCCCCCAGTATATTAATGTAGGCTTTGCATTTAGGAACATTGTTAGTTTGCAATCTCTGTGCATTTTTAGGAGGTTTTAGAGCTATGGAAGATCTTGAATTTCTCGTTGTTCTTACCCACCTTGCAGAAGCAGCCATCCTTCGCATTGCTGCTGTATTTCAGCTCCACAGTGAAGGGATTAATTTCTTGGAGACTAGTTTGCATTAAACGCACTAAATAAATTTATCATTTGAAGAATGGAGGTAGTGTGTGGCTGACGATAATTCTCCAGGCTTAGTGGATCAGCCATTTAGTTCATTATAAGAGGTGTGCTTTTGCACACATTTGGGTCTTCCTGTCACCCCCCCAGATTCTTCCAGTAAGCTGTGATTGTATAAGTAAGTTTCTTAGTACTTCAGTAAAATAACATGTCTAGGCAGCACTTGAGTTGGTGTAATAATCTAAAGTTTGATCCTTCTGAAGTTGCTGAAAGCAGGAAGATTTTTAGGAATGTTGATGATACACTGTCATATGTCAGGATATGTACAGACTGAGGCTGCCCGTACCTCTCTTGGCATATCTGTTAGTGACTAAGGCATACATATATTTTAAGCCACCCCTTGTTACTCACTTTAGGAAAGAAGATTTCTCTATTATTTTTCCTGCCTTTTTTAATTAATAGATATTTGAAACAGATAATTTTCAGTACTGTGGAGCAGCTGTGGAGCTCATGTCCTCTGAACTTTTCAGTGAGTCTGTGGAAGCTTAGACCATAAAGGAGGAAAGTTTTGGGTTAAAAGTCTGACTGGAAGGAAAACGGAGCTCTTATTCATGCTTTGCAAAGCTGTGGTGCCCAGCTTTCCTACTGTCACAGCTCTTGGGTGCTGATGCTGGCACTCATACGACTGTGGAGTGAATTGGGTCAGTCACTGGTCTGGCTGAAATGTGATCTTTTTTTTGCGGAGTTAACTTTCAGAAGGACCACCTCATTATTTTGACAGGATCAACTCATTAATTTGATTTGCCCCGCAAACATGCAAGGACTAGAACTGGCGTACTGGAGGAAGATCAGATCTACTTTTTCAGCAGCAGTGAGCAGTTTGAACTGATGAAAACTGATCACAAAATCACACCCTCAGCTAAGCAGGTGCAAATCCCAGTGTGGACACACTTATTTAATGTCCAAGGACCTTAAGTTCAGGTTAAAACAGTTTCCT